AAAGCCTCATCTTTCTCCCGCGGAACAGCTGGTGGTTTCGAACTGCTGACCTTGCGGTTCGCAGCCCGATTCGTAACCACTACGTTACCAGATGCAGCTATTCAAGAATATACGTAAGCACTCTGGAATCTCTTTTTGTACTATTGATGATATCTTTCTTCCAGAGAAACCATTTCCTTTCACTAACTCACTGAAGCAATACATAGCTGCTGTCAAGTCTCTTCCCACTCATGGCAACCCCAGGTGTACCAGAGTCGAATTGTACTAGCTCCGTAGGGTTTTCAGTGACTGATTTTTCAGGAGATGACCAGCCCTTTATTCTGAGGAACCGCTGGGTGAACTCACACCTCCAGAATCTTGCTTAGCAGCCGAGAGTGTTAACTATTTGCACCACCCAAGCATTGAGGCAATGTTGTTGTTAAGTACCGTCCATAGAGTCCAATAAATGTGTTTCAATGAGCTGCCAATACCACCAAGTTTTCTATACCTCCCTAAATCTCTTAACTACACACACATACACACACTGTATACAGTTTGTAGTCTGAGGCAGTGAGATGTGACACTTGCCTAGGGCAGGAAGATCTTTGCTGGAAGACAGTTGTCCAGTAATCAGATTTCCCCCTCATTATCCCTGACCCATTCAGCAACTTGGATGACAGCTTTAATGGTGATGGAGCAGGGGACAGCAATGACCCAGAACAAATCTTCCAGAATATACAGTTCCAGAAAGACCTCATGGCAAACATCCGATGCAGACCCTGGCCCATGGGACAGAAGCTGAGAGCACTGAGGTAAACAGGGGTCAAAACAATTACTGATTGTTGTAAGCACTCTCTCCTTGAAACCAACCAGGCGACAGGGGTGGGTCAGCCCCTCTTGACCTAACTTAGAGAGCCTCAGAGATGTGGGAGGGGTACAGCTGGTTGTTTGTGCTGAAAGATCTCAAAGATAGCCAGTTAACTCTGCATGTGCATGTGTGAGCATGTCTGTGTCTGTGTTGGGTCTGTGTGTTGTTGTAGAGTGTTTGGTCTTCTTTCTATGTTATGAAAATTAGATTTTAACATTGCCTCTGGAATGTACAACGTAACAAAACTCACAAGGGGCAGGCTTGTTTGACCAGAATGACCAGAGGCACTCATTTTAGCTTTTTGGCTAATACTCCCTCTAGGGGGGAACCCAGTCCTTGGAAAGCCTGATAATTAAAATACTGGAGAGGCTGTTTAGATCACAGTTAAATGCTTAAGATCTGAAGGCAGATTGTCTGAACTCAAATATCACCAATACCACTCACTAACTACTGGGTAATTTTCCTAATTTCTCTAAATGCCAGTTTCCTTCTCTTTGAAGTGGACTTGATACTGAGAAACAATATTCAATTCCTGCAATAGTACTCCCAAAATGTGTTCTGTTACATTCTGAGAGTTGAGTTGTGTTAGAATTAGCATATTAATTGTTACTGAAAATCAAACAAAAGGAGTCAGAAACTGTGGCAGCGGACAGCAATGATCCAGAACAAATTTTCCAGAATATGCAGATACTAAGCAGATAACCCTTGCATTTCTTTTCCATCATATCACGCCATAGTTAGATTTCCATTCCAGTCTCTGGTTTTCCACTCTGACCCGGTAGATAGCACGTCCCATGGGAGAATTGGGCAGATGGCTAAACTCATTCATATTTTCACTTTCAAAAGTTTTCAATTAATTCTTTATCTGCCTTTCATGTCTATTACCAGTGCTCACCATCTCCGGGTCTTTGAGTAATGAAGGCACAGTCTCCATGTTTCAGAAGAGAAGTAAAATACTCAGAGATGTGAAGCGGCTTGCCAAAGGGTACAGCTTAAGTGCTAGAATTAACCCCTCAGCCTCATATTTCTGATTTCAAGTCTGAAACATAGGAACACTACCAAAGTCATCATTAGAGCCATTACATTAAAAAAAAAAAGAAAGAAAGAAAGAAAAGATAAAGATAAAAGCATATATTCATTCCAATAGACCTTATTAAAATCACACAGAAACAAACAAAGTCATATAGAAACAATGATGATTCCTGGTTATTCAAACATTAGGAAGCTAAATTGTTTTAATCCCGAGGAGGGAGCACAGAAAATGATGGCTTTTCTGTTAGGCTCTGCTGATTATAAAAATCAGTAGTGCCTTGCACCATGTTGTTCAATCCTATAGCATGCATCTCTATGGAAGATGCACTTCCACAGCCCCCAATGTGGTGACCAAGGCCTGGGTAGAGCATCAATTCTCCCTCTTGCCTGTATTTTTAGTTCTGACTAGAATGAAGCGAGCACATTGGCTGAGCTATAGATATAAGGCTATTTCAGCAAGACCAGAGAATCCCAAAACTCAGTGCTCTGCTTAGGTTAGGTTTTGAAAATAACGCTCCTTTTGTAGAAAAAGGCAGCTTGCTTACTTTCTGTGTTTCTCAACAAAGGACTTAAAACCACTAACTATTATAACAATGAAAGTTGTCAGACTAACAGATTGACTGATTCTGAAGAACTAAGTTCATCAACTCAGTTTACTCAAGCAGAGGGTGGCTGACCATTGGATAATGAGTGTCCCTGCATTGGACGGCTGCCCATGGTTGCATAACGTGGCATGCAGCTCTAAGAGGCCGATTTAATCCGTCCATGGGGCTAGCATTTATTTTCTAATCCTGTTGTTGATTGAAATGTGCATTGGACCATCTGCCTATTTTAGTGAATTCAGGTCATTTTAAAATATTGATGTTTCAGGCAGGGACACCAGGTCAACTTAACAAAGTGTATTAGTCATTTGTTTAAGCTTTGTAGACACAACCTCCTTGTACACATTAACCAGATACCACCTTCTTCTGGAAGCACATTCTCTGAAGCTAGGTCTGGCTTTCCCACTGAAGGAAGAAGACCACTGACTTAGGGTGCAGGGTGAAGCCACTAGAATCTGCTTCCAGGGTCTCCAAATGAATGATTTCTAGCTAACAGTCTGACTCAGTGAAAGGCTTGAAGAAATTCAGTTACAATTAATTTTGGTATTCATTCATCACTCGGTATTCATCTGCCTTTTTAAATTTTCAGGAAAATATATTTAAGGAACTTTTCTATTTATATATATATATGTTGTTGTTGTTGTTGTTGAGTGCTGTGGAGTCGGTTCCGACTCATAGCAACCCTGCACAGGGTTTCCGAGGCTGTAAAT